TTTAATTTTTCTCAATTTTTTTTATAATCCATATAAAAACAACTAGAAATAAGAAATTAGATGTACTATATATATACTAATTAAGATTTTGTACTACCACATATTAAAATTTCTACTATTATTATTATGTATAATTTCAAATAAGCTGACAGTATCAAACTATTTTGTTTATTTTTATAATATAATATATAGATAATTGTTAAAATTTTTTTCTGATTTTTCTTTAATTAATATAGTTGTATGAATGCTAGAATAGTGAAATTTTGAATATATATTCTGTATTGTCTAAGGTTGCCTGCCTAAACCTCTCCAAAATTCTACGATTAGTTTCTCCAAAATTTTACTATAATTTTATTATAGTTTCGGCAAGATTTCGGCAGTTTTGACATTTATAATAAGTTTTGTCAGATTTCGCTTTTCTCCAGAGTTTTGCCAACTTTTTAATAAGACTTTCATATAGTTTCAGCAAAGTTTTGCCATTTCGGCATTTCGCCAACTTGCCAAAACCCCCTAGTTTCTCCAGCAACTTAGTATTGTCAGGTCTACATTATTATATATTAAAATTCCAGGTATTATTATTACGTAAATTTTTAAGTACTAATTAATAAATATGAATTTCTGCTATTTTTGTTCAAGTAGTATACCTTATTCTTATTTTTTAAAAAATGGTTTCTTCTTTTAAAATAATGATTAGAAATAAAGGTAAATAGAAAGCAAGTATATAGGTTAGTAAGTATATTTATTATAATTAAAAAATGTTTTAATATTTCTTTTTTTTTTTTGTAAAATACTATTGATCAAATTGCAAGCTGTTCCAAATTAACCTAAATCAAGTCAAGTATTAATTTAAATTTAGATTTGATTTAACTTGACTTATAATTAAACCTGAATCTACTTAACTCATTTAAAATATTAATTTTGATGATTATTATCTTCTATTTATTTTTTTAATTATAAATAATTGATTACTTTAAAACTAATTTTTTTAAAAGTATACAGAACTCTGTTTATTACTAAAATATATTACTAGTAAAAATTTTACTTTTATATGAAATCTTATCTTAGGATTTGCTTAAATTCTATTAGTTAATTGACTGAAAAAGAAAAAATCATAACAATGTAACATAAAATTTTCTTTTATAGTAAGATCTTTAAAGAATTTTATATATAAACCTTACTTTAGATTATAGAATGACTTATCTTAATAGTAATAAGCAGAGTCCTAAATATACATAAGATTAAATTATATTATAATTAGATAATTAACAAATTTTACATAAATATAAGATAATAAAATTTCTTATCAAATTTTTTAATTTATAAATTTAATTCTTTTAACACAATTTTTATTTGGCTAATTCAAATATTTAATAATATATATTATCTAATATCATTATGATATTATTTAGATATTAATAAGATAAATTTAATGTATTAATCTTATAATATAATTATTTTAAAAAAATGGTAACTTTATTTATATTAATTAAATACTATCAGCAATATTATAATCTTTTTAAAAATCATTTGATTCAGGATCATTTGATCAGAATTCCAGAAAATATATAAATAAGTAAAATCTCAAGTTGCTTAAAATTTGCCAAAAAAATTGTATAAATCTTTTCTTTTTAGATAATACTGGTCAGAAATTTAATTTTCTAATTCAGAAACTAGTTAGTATTATTATAGTTCTGGTTTTGAAGAAATGCTTAGAGCTCATAGTAAAATTATTTTTGCTGGACCTTACCTATTTATCATGTATTTTTCAGAGCCCTATTTAATTATTTGGATGAAAATTGCAATTAAAATTAATAATAATTATGATTTTGCTATGATGATCTACATAACTTTTTACAACAAATTAAATAATAGATTTTAGATAGAAACTTAATTTTATATATATTACTATTTGCTGATTTATTAAGTTTATATAGTTTGATCTTGATATAACAAAAACAAACTTTTGATTTACTGAACTTTTTTTAAAAACTGGTTTCATATTATTTAAAAATTTTAATATATCAAATTTCATATAAAACTTGGATATATATATATATATATAACATATACTAAACTCTATAATTTACCTTTATAATAAAGCATATAAAAAAATTTCTTAATATACTAAAACCTGATCATATGATTGAAATTTCACATAATTTGTATTGTTAAATTTTAATTTCTAGCCAAAATTAATATTCTTTAATCATATAACAACTTTATATACTGAACTTTTACTATATATTAAACTTTTACTTTTGAACTGCAAATTCAGTATATTGAGGTTTAACTGTATTTACATTTTTTTAATTATTTTAAATATAAAAAATAAATAAATGAATATATAGATATTATGAATGTAAATATTTAAAATTTCAAAATAAAGAAAAAGTAGTAGTAGTAAAGAATTGGGTTAATCAAATTAAAATCAATTATGATTGATTAAGTCAAATGATTTAACTAATGATTTTACATATTAAGTACTATAATTGATCATAATACTCAACTAAATATAATCAATTAAAATATTAAATGATATAATTGGTTATATAAATATAATTAAATCTTAAAAAAATAGTAATTAGTTTACCTTATAAAAAAGGTTTTTTTTCACTCTTCTCTACTTGAAGATTAAATTCTTTTAATATTAACATGCTTCCAAAATGTGCAAATAGTTCTACTGATTCTTTACATACATTAAAATATTTAACTAGTGATATTACAGATGAACAAGAGCCACAAATTTCTCAGTAATTATTTTTTCATCATAATAATTTACTATAAAGTACTATAACCGATTAATTATTTGATTAATTATTTGATTTTATTTGATCAAGTGTACTTAATCAAATTTTAATTGATTACTACTTATTAGTTAATTTTAATCGATTTTACCAAAAAATTTTTAACCAATGAATCGAACAATGATTTTTGGCATCAACTCAATTCCCTAAATAGTAGTAGCAGTAGTAGTAGTAATTGTAATAATAGCAGTAACAATAAAAGAAGAAGGAGAAATAAAAGAAGAAGTGATAGAAGAAAAGATAGGAGAAGAAATAAAAAAGAAATAGAAAAAGAAATTAAGGTAAATCATAAATTTATAATTGAATGACATATAAAACTAAATTTTACCAAGTAATTTAATTATGATTTTTATAATATTTAAAATATTCTAATAAATTATTAAATGTAAGTAATTGTAGTTGATATTGTTGTAGTTGTTATTATGGTTGTTATTGAAGTTGATTTTGTGGTTGATATTGTTGCAAATATAGTTGAGAATTTCTGCAGTGATACATTATTTAACTATATATTTTTTAGTAAAGTACATTTTTTAGTGATATATTTTTTGATGTTCATATAAATATAATACTTCAGATATTCCAATAGTTCCTATTACCTAATTAGTAGTTAGTAATGAAAAATATAGTTAATTCTTTTACAATATATTTTTTTAAAAAAAAATTATATAATTAACCAATAAAAATAGCTTGCATTTAACTTTATATAATATATTAAACTTGTTAGTTATATACTTCAATTTATTAATTGTTTATCAGTTATTTTTAATTAAATTGGATAAAAACTGCATATATTAATAGATAGATATATAAAATTTTGAGTGGATAGGCAGGTTGCCAAGCTTTAATATAATTTTTTGATAATAAAAAACAAAAATCTGGATATTAAAACCAAATTTTGAATATAAAAATCGATTTTACTACTTTATATTGTTTAAATTTATTTCCAATATGTTTAAATTTCTTTGATATATCAGATTTTTCTAATGAAATAAATGAATAGGAATAATTAAAAAAAGTCAAAAATAATAGAAAAAAGACATTTTATAATCTTGCATTTTTAAAATAAATAATAATAAAGTTAACCCTTAATTTAGGTAATTTAATTTTATTTTATCATATTCAAATATATACATAAAAGGAAAAAAAAAGCTTATTGCAACAATGACCTTTTTATGTTCGTCAAATAAAAGTCATCAGTCAATTAGATAGGGGAATAAATATGATATAATATATATGGTTATATGGTATGATGCTAAAAAATTGGTTATGGTTAGCACTTTTTCTTTATTTTCATATTAAAATTCTATACAGTGTAACTGGAGGTCATATCATACATTATCGTCGTATCAGAGTAATAAATCACAATTATTAGAAAAAACGTGCTACTACGCATCCAATCATCAAGATCCAGTGATTTATTGCAAAAATTGTTTATGGCTATATGCTATATAAATAAAAACTTTTGTGACATTATAAATACTGTTGGCAGGGATTTTATATTGTAGAAGAAATTACTATACCTTAAGCACCACCCAAAAGTAAATAATCTGGCCAGAATTATGAAGATTTGAACCATGGTCGGCATTTATGCTTAATCTCGGTAATCAACTTTACTGTAACATTTTATGATTTTATGTTTAAAAAGTAAATAATTCAATACCTATTATTCTCATTATATTGATTATTGACTTTAAAAATCTAACCTGAATAATTGATTATTTTGGTGATGAATGGCTGATAATAATCTTTTCGTGTTCAGATAACACCAATTAATTATTTTTGACCATGTGACTACCGAACAAATTACTGATAAAGTAGCAGCCTTTTTTAATTTATTTCTCAAAATTTACTATGATAGCTTAAAAAGAGTTTAGAATATTAAAAATACGCTCATTGGGCGGTTTTCAATTTATTTGACAATGAGAAGGTTTTGAATAAGAAAAAAAACTATTCATGTGGTACCAAATGTAGTGGGAAACCGAAATCATGATTAGATACATCAATTATAATATGATAATGTGTTTTTTTAAAGAACATATACATGCAGATATCATCCTAATCCGTTAATCTAAAGTTTTGTTTAACAAAAATAATAAAAATCAGTCCTAATTTAAACCATTGTTTCCAAAATTGAAAAGATTTTTTTTTATATAAAATAAAATCCTCTGAAAAATTTAGAAAAAAAAAGAAAGAAAAATGTCCATCAGCGGAGATATTCGTGTCGTCGTCGGTATAGGTAATAAAATTAACAAAAACAAAAAAGAAAAAAAGTTATACTAAAAAATTACCGCAGAAATCAGTATTTTTAATTGAAGTTTTAATTGAAATTGATTTTTTTTTTAGATTTCGGCACTACTTATTCGGTAATTTAAAATCAACATATACGCGCATTTATTTATTTACATTTTAAACATTTATAATTGATTATTTTTTTCTTGAAATAAAATAGGGATTCTCGTACACACATATATCACATCCAATAATCATAACCAACGAGGAATGGCCTGAAAAAATTGGACAATTAAAGACTAATACAGTATTAAAATATAAAGATGAAAATTTTGAAGAAGTCGATTGTTGGGGATATCCAGCATTGTATAAATCTCCTATTGAATTATTTAAATTACATTTGGGTGATATACCAGAATCAGAAAAGCCTTATCTTCCATCTAAATTAAGTTATAAGAAAGCTATTACTGATTATCTTCGAGAAATTGGTATATAATATTATTTTGGCTTAATGGCTTTTAATATATAAATAATTCAAAATAAAACTAATAAATTATATATATATATTTTCCTTTTTTTAAAAAAAAAACTTATTACTTACTATAGGAAAGGTAATCAATATATATTGACCTTTAAATATCAAACGGTATTACGTTTTATATCATCTTAATTTTATGATTTGTTTTTATATGATAATAGTTGATTAAAAAGACCGTGTCAACTCGATGGCCTGGTATTGAATGGCACCAAGTACTTTTTGTTATGGCAGTTCCAGCGGAATTTCCAGAAAGATCGAAGAAAATATTGAGAGAATGCGCATACGATGCTAATTTAATTAGTAACAAAAAGACATATAAACTACAATTCACTACCGAACGTAAGCAATAAAAAAACTCTTCAAAACACCATTTTATAATTAAAACATTATTTAAAATAATAAATAAATGTTTTGTTTTTTTTTTCATTTATTTACTTTTAGCCGAGGCAGCGGCAATATATTGTATAGATAAAATTCCTGAAACTGAAATCGATAATTATATCGGAAGTAAGTAACATTTTGTAATCAAATATTTTACAACGGTAGCGAGTTTCGATAACGATTAATTTTGTTGTTAGGATCATTCTTGGTCGTTGATTGTGGTGGTGGAACTGTTGATTTAACAATTCGTAAACTATTAAAGAAGGATGAACTTGATGAAGTAACTATAAGGACAGGAGATTACTGTGGTGGTACTTGTATCGACCAAGAATTTATAAAATTTCTTGAATCAAAAGTTGGAGAATTAGCAATTAGTCGTTTAATTGAAAATCATTATGGAAAGTATCAATATTTAATACAAGAATTTTGTAGAATTGTCAAATTGTCTTTTACTGGCATTGAGGAAGAATATAAAAATTATGAATTGGATATTGAGGTAAATTTTTAAATATATTCTTATAATGTAATAATAATTATTAATTTTAATTTATACTGTATATTTATAGCAAGACTGTCCAATATTAAAACAATACATTACAGGATCAAAGAAGAATCGTTTAGAAGATGATGATTGGCTCATTGGACTTGGATTTGATGATGTTAAAAATATGTTTGATCCAGTTATCAGTAAAATTACTAAATTAATTCATAATCAACTTGATCATGATAAAACATGTTCAACCATATTTTTAGTTGGAGGATTTAGTGAATCAAAATATTTACAGGAAAGAATAAGAAAAGAATTTATGGTTCGAGTTGATAACATTATAATACCTCATCAACCAATTGCTGCTGTTGTACGTGGTGCAGTAAGATATGGAACCAACAAAAAGCTTATTAAGAATAGAGTATTGAAATATACTTACGGAAGATCAACTCTTAGACCGTACAATGAAAGCATTGATACACTTGATAGAAAAAGAGATAGTGGATATGTTTTAGTTTTTAAGCCATTAGCCAGAAAAGGAACAACCGTTGAAGTCGGTCAAAAATTTTTTCAAACTTCTCACCCAGAAAATAGGTAATTGTTTTTAATATTTATTAAAAAAAAATGTATATTCAAATAACATTCTTTTTCTTATAAAAAATTAGTGACCAAGAAAAAATGTGGTGTCGGATTTTAATTACAGACAATGAGAGTGCAAGATATTGTGATGATGATGGTGTAAAAGAATTGGGAGACTTTATTATTGATTTACCAGATAAACAACTTGGTAAAGACAGGAAAGTTTATTTTGAATTATGTTTTGGAGAAATGGAAATTAGAGCATATGCAAAGAATGAGTACAATGGGAACGAATATAGTGCCACTTTCAATTATTTCGATGAAAATATCGCTAAAGTAGCAGATGAAAAATTTTCTTGACACTAGGGGGATTCGTAGAACAGATCTAGTGCGTGAATTTTGAGAAACATATCTACCTGTCACATGACTTTGCGATTAATATGTAAACGTAACCCTTACATGATGATAACCTTAATCATATTAATATACAGTACATTCTTATCAGAGCAATTTCGTTGAATACCATTATTTACAAATAGAACATGGTTTCTTATTCCTTTTTCTTCTTGTATCCAAAGCTTCTTCCCGAACATTTTCATTTCAATATCACTGGGTTCATTATAATTTTCGTCATATATGATATGGGAGAAATCATGTATCTATTAATAAAATTTATTTTTGCTTAAATTAAAAAGAGTTAAAGGAAAAAACAACTTACATTAAAATCTTTTAAAAGAAAGAATATTTATGAACGCTGTAAATAATTTAACATCCCAAATAATGTTATTATTTGCGTAAAATTCACATGATATGCACAGCAAGTCACGAGTATTTACTTTTTACATCTCGAATAAATATTTATTGCAGCAATGACAATATCGAGGAATAAAATTTTAAAAACTTTAAAAGTTGTGAAAGATAACAAATAACATAAGTTAACAGTTAAGGAAAATAGTGAGATTACAAAACAACTCGAGAAAAATGATTATTGGTTATTCAATTAGATAGACAAAATATTATAAATACCTTTGTAAAATAATCTTCCTTTGGAAGAACAAATATATGTATAATTAATTAATATTTTTATGGAATCATCATTTTGTATAAAGTTATTACATAGAAGGTAATAAATGCCAAGTTACCCCAATAAGGTTTCTGTATCAATTTCTTCCAAATCATCCGAAGCATTTTTATGTGATTCAGCATTATTATAAGGAGGGTATTTTGATATTGCGAAGGTTGGGAGGAGATGTAATAACAGAAGAAAGCTCTTCAGATGGTCGTTTTTTGGTATTTGCTATGTTATAGGATTCTTCCAATTCTGACTTTAATGGATAGAAACACCTGAGCTATGAATTTTATTCAAGATACTCACAAGCTTTTGTTTTTTCCCTCCATTTGTTGGTATCACTTCTGCATTATCACTGGTAGCATTGGCAAGCACATCTTCTAAATCTGTTATTTCAATCACATCATCAGACTTTGAAATAGTAGATAGAGCGATGTAATGAATCGCTCCTTAGTTTCTTAGTTACAGTTCCTTCGTTGTAATCCTCATAACCTTGAAAATTTCCTGCGTGAGCTAAGGCCTAGATATTATGAAAAAAAAGAAAAAATTTGCTATATAAAACATTACATTCAGAAAGAAATAAAAACATCAATTTTAAATACTCACTAGCCTGCTCCTCAGTGTACAGATCTTTGATCCATGAATCTGAGATTCTCCCGTCAATTTTAGAAATTTTGCTCAACTTCTTACTAACATTGAAGACACCCATTATCAAGCACACCTTTGACTAATATCTATTAAGATAATAATTGACATTAAATAATTGTGAATCATTAAAATTTCTATAAAGCTGGATATTTCAAACAACAAACCTGATTTTGTTGATTAATTATCGATGTTTAAAACATTTGTAGGTACAGTCAACTCTCTATAAATGCACCCTCTATAAATGCATACTCTCTATAAATGCACCTTTTATCTAGTCCCAACTTGGGCCTTAATGCTAAATGCACGGTTTTTATATATATGTATTCTGTAAATGCACCCTTTATAAAAAAATTTTATATAGTTTATTTATAAAATTTTTGTATTACCTTAATTTTAGATTAATATCATATGTATTCTATAAATGCACACCTATCTGGTCCCAAGGGGGGTGCATTTATAGAGAGTTGACTGTAGTTCGCACCCTTAAATTCGAGATTGATCTTTTAAAAAATGTCACTAGCAATATTAAAGTATATCGTGGTTTCAAGTTACTATAAGAAGCTTAGGAGCACGAAGAAAAATGGGTCACGCATAGTGGAACTAAGATTTCACTTATACTCTATCTGTGATTTACATACATGTTAAGAGTTATTCATACCACCACTTGGGCTGGAGTTTCAATTAGATTCATGATTTACATATCAAAAGTTGTCTTTCCGCAAAAAACCAAACCTAATAAGAAATATGTTTACCTTTTTTATCACTTTATTCCCCAAATTTTCTATTTCTTCTAGAAAGCGTTAACTCCATGAACTGTGATTAGCAATTCCAAAGTCTTCGCGCATGGCAAAATCATTAAAGTTCAGAAAATGCAAGTAGGATATATTTTCTGGAGTATTAGAAATATAGTCAAAGAATTATAAAGACGAAAATAATTTATATTTTTATACAAACCAATAAAAAAGATTATCAAAAGATTAATAAGAATGAATGTTACGTTACATAATTACATTACACGTAAATTACATTGTAAGTTACATGATCTTTGTGTAAGTTTACACATATAATTGGGCCAGAGTTATGACTTTTTGACCAGCATTACAATAATTTATCTAATTTTGGCTTAAATTACTATTAATTCTTTAATTTTTATTGACGAACAAATTTTTTTATTTTCTTAGTTTATTTACTTTTTATTTTAATTGTACTAAATTTTATTATAGATAAACAATATAAATTAGTACTCATTTATCTTTATTAATAAAAATTAATAAAACTAAATAAAATACATTTATTCTTCTTCAATTTCTTTGGATAAATCTTGTTCTAAATACATTTCATTTAATTCTTCAAAATCATCTAGTATTTCGATATTATCTTCTGTTTCTTTCTCTTCTGAATTCTCAATTGTTACTCCATTTTTAACTAACTCTTTAATTGTTAATAGAACTAAGCAATGGATATCTTTTTTCTAACAAATGCCACCAATTAATTGGTTTATTTTTTATATCGCCCATAAATAAGATTTAGAAAAACCACCACATTTTCTAATAAATTCACTATATTCTTCTAAAACTAAATTTTGATTTTCCTTACCCACTAATCTTATCAGTTCTTCTTCAATAATGTCATCCCAACGCTGGTTATTTAATAATTCTCCATTGTACCTCAGATCTAATCTGTATGCAACAAAAACTGCAGGATTATATAAAAATTCATTCTAATAATATTTAGCTTTTTGAATTGCATATACACTAAAATCATTAGAAATTTTGGTATTATTTTTGATTTGAATTTCAATTTTACGCAAGTTAATAAATGCAGTAGAAAGATATGGGTCATCTTGTTCAAGCTGTTAAATAAAAATAATAAATGGCAACAAAAAATCTCGCAAATCTTTAAGATTAGTCAAAAGATAACATCTAAAATCTTAATTTTTATTTCACGATCTAAAGTTATATCTTTCCCTAATAAAGCCATCATTGTCATCTTAGATTTGAAAATACTATCTAAACACTGATATGCTGATAACCACCTTGTTTCAACCGGTAAATTAAGGCCAATTTCCTTCCTATATTTATCCTTTTGAATTCTACGAAGTGCTGCAAGTGGAATTTGATGATTACGAAAATATAAACTTAATTTTTTTGCCATATTTAAAATTTTATTAGCCCAATTATGCTTTATAATATCTTTTACCCAAAGATTTATACCATGCGTCCAACATCCTAAAAATATTTTATTAGGGTATTTTTCTTTTAAAATTCTCCAAGCAGCTTTCATGTTATTTGCATTGTCTGTGATAACAGCAACAAACTTATTGATTCCAGCTTCTATCATAATATCCTTAATATCTTTAGCTATACAGTCAACTCCCTCTATAGTCACTCCCGTTATAGTCACATTTTACTATATAGTCACACCAGTTGAATGTTCAAAACACTTTATTATTAAAATCTATCCTATATAGTCACAATCTATCTATAGTCACTATCACACCTATCCTCAAAAATCTTATATTAAAAAGAACCGTTTATAATCACAGTTATATAAAGAATATATTAAATAACTTGGCATCTAATAATCGTACAAAGATGTATCATAGCTTGTTAGAATCGTCTCACTGAGACGAATCGAATGGTGGTAGTTTTATCCTTTTCCTTTGCAAGTGTTTACGGCCAGACCACCCATTGCCTCTTATGAGACTAATCTCGGGTCTGTGTCCTATCATCTTCAATGGGCAACCATTATACCGAGTACTTAATTCCTCAGGTAACAGCACCACTATAGAAGACATCCCCCATCGGGCCATTTTAGGCTGATCTGAAGCTAGGTACACGCCGCCTACTCATCCTATACCCATTGCATGATACTGATACTCAATTTATTTAACGACCTTTAGAGAGCATCTACTTTCATGGAGGACTTTCGACAGGTAACATCAACCATCTAGTACCCTTCCATACCACCATTTTAGGTACTAAGTCTCACTCAAAGGCCACTACAGCCCGCGATTACCTAGCACCGATAGTACAGTTGTTTACCCCAAGTGGTATACTTTGTAGTGACCACTCGGACAGGAAGTAGCAGGCATCTGTCCAGGATCACCCCTTATGGTGGGTATCAACCACCAGGGATCACCAACCAGGACCCAAGGAGTAGGGAATCGAACCCCATAGCCATGCTACCTGTTCTGTGCACGAACACCTTGGTTGGTCTAAGACCTAACAGAAGGTCTAACTACCACTAAGACATTGCACCCTCAGCTTTACCATCTAGGACGACCATCTAGCCATTACTGACCCCAAGCGGTATCGTAGAGTGACCACCCGGACAGGAAGTCCCCCCCAAGGTATAGTAGTGACCTCAAGGACAGGACTGCGCACATGCCAATGGCCTCATAGGGAACGTTAGAAGGACACCATGACCCTTAGTTGAAATGTGCGGCCTAACCGTACACACTAATTCACCATGATGCAGTCCAACTACACTAATCCCTGTACCTTCACGCTATTGGTTGTAGCGTCCGCAGTAAAATTCTTTTTATTTCCGTGGTCATGGGAATCGAACCTGCGACCTCACCATACTCAGGCTTAATGAGGGTCTCAGTGACTAACCACCGAGATAGGGTGACCAACCCTAGTTTTATCCTTTTCCTTTGCAAGTGTTTACGGCCAGACCACCCATTGCCTCTTATGAGACTAATCTCGGGTCTGTGTCCTATCATCTTCAATGGGCAACCATTATACCGAGTACTTAATTCCTCAGGTAACAGCACCACTATAGAAGACATCCCCCATCGGGCCATTTTAGGCTGATCTGAAGCTAGGTACACGCCGCCTACTCATCCTATACCCATTGCATGATACTGATACTCAATTTATTTAACGACCTTTAGAGAGCATCTACTTTCATGGAGGACTTTCGACAGGTAACATCAACCATCTAGTACCCTTCCATACCACCATTTTAGGTACTAAGTCTCACTCAAAGGCCACTACAGCCCGCGATTACCTAGCACCGATAGTACAGTTGTTTACCCCAAGTGGTATACTTTGTAGTGACCACTCGGACAGGAAGTAGCAGGCATCTGTCCAGGATCACCCCTTATGGTGGGTATCAACCACCAGGGATCACCAACCAGGACCCAAGGAGTAGGGAATCGAACCCCATAGCCATGCTACCTGTTCTGTGCACGAACACCTTGGTTGGTCTAAGACCTAACAGAAGGTCTAACTACCACTAAGACATTGCACCCTCAGCTTTACCATCTAGGACGACCATCTAGCCATTACTGACCCCAAGCGGTATCGTAGAGTGACCACCCGGACAGGAAGTCCCCCCCAAGGTATAGTAGTGACCTCAAGGACAGGACTGCGCACATGCCAATGGCCTCATAGGGAACGTTAGAAGGACACCATGACCCTTAGTTGAAATGTGCGGCCTAACCGTACACACTAATTCACCATGATGCAGTCCAACTACACTAATCCCTGTACCTTCACGCTATTGGTTGTAGCGTCCGCAGTAAAATTCTTTTTATTTTCGTGGTCATAGGAATCGAACCTGCGACTTCACCATACTCAGGCTTAATGAGGGTCTCAGTGACTAACCACCGAGATAGGGTGACCAACCCTATAGTTTTATCCTTTTCCTGTGCAAACAGTCTTATGACTTTATCTTTTATTTATACTTTAGACTTCGAAAAGTAATCAAACAATATTACAAAAATAAGAAAATAAACTAATAAAAAATAAAAAGAGTAGCTTCACGACTCATACAAGTAAAGAAATCTAAACTAAAA